AAAAAATACAAAAACTGCATTGTAAGAGCATACTAATATGTAAAACCTAATAATTTGGTTTATGGTCATCTGAACGCGGGCGGAGCCGCGGTCAATGCTAGTTATAAAATACGACTGCTAGTTCCAGAGATACGTACGTACGTACAAACAAACTCGTCACCTTGTTTGTATGTCAGTAAGGATAAAACGTGACGGTTTTGAAACTAGTTTATATTGAATGTGCAAACTTTTGAATAAACCTTTCAACACAATAAATTAAATATAATTTAATGTTATGGATACCAGATATTTAATACAGAACACATATATAACTTTAAATACATACATATTATAAATATAAACACCCATGACTGGAGTACAAACATTCGTGCTCTTCACACAAACAAATTCCCCCAGCGGGACTCGAACCCGCGACCGCTGGCACAGCAATAGGATCTACAAACTGAGTCACACGCGCCGTTAAACAGATTAGTCAAACGGTTGCTATTTGAATAATTTATTGCTATCATTTAGAATTCAAATGATCCATTTCCATAATAAATGTATTACTTATTATTTATTACATGTTGCGTTTTTAATCTGTTGTAATATTTTACTGCTTTAAAATGAATTTGTAAGAGTATTATAAATGCTTATTTATGCTACTAATATTTTTTGTCCCGTCTTTACTTGCTCGTAGGTTATTGACCGATTTCAAGGAGGAGGGATTCGGTTTAGCTGTTTTTTTTATGCCGAGGATAGTACTGTCTATAGAACTAAACATAAAGCCAAATAATAATGTTTTAAAATAGTATACATATAATCTTAGAATATGTTACTGTGGTAAGTAAATAAATATTAATAAATAAAAAAGATAGTTGTAGCCCAGTAACGCGCTTGCTTGGGAAACTGAGTGAAGCGAGTTCAAATCCCGAGTCTCGCACCTTTGATATTTTCGTGTGCGAATCATTTCCAACATGATTACCACTTGTCTTACGGTGAAGGGAAACATCGTGAGAAAACCTACATGTCTGAGAGAACCTAGCAAGTTTTCGAAAGACATGCTCAGTCCGCCCGCACTTGGCCAGCGTGGTGGACTATGGCCTGATCCCACTCGTATTGAAGGGAGGCCCACCCCCAGCAGTGGGACGTTAAAAAGGATTGAATACAGAACTAAAATTAGCGAAGGGATTCTATTATAATAAAAATATTAAGTAAGCTCATATTGTGGTATCTCTCTTTCAATGGGAAGAGAACTAATGCTTAAAAATACAAAAGAAAAAAAAACAGTGGAATTGAGAACCTCCTCCTTTTTGAAGTCGGTTGAAAATAGTGTTTTACTTATATTTTATTATCAAAAATTTATATTAAATTAACTAATACGTATATAAAATGTCCCTTATACTTTAAAGAAAGTAAACTATCTGTATGCCAAAATCAAGAATAGTAGCACAAACAGAGAATCACGCTACTATTTTTGACTTCGACATTTTTTTTGGCGGACTTCGTATATATAATTCGTTACTTCGCTGGTTAGGTTTGTGTACTTTACGCGATATCTTCGCAAATAATAAATCGATTTTGTGAATTTTTTATATCGATTTTCGTTAATATTTTTTATAGTGAAAGGCACAAACTTAAATTGAATTAATAGTAAAAAAATATTAAAAAAAAAACAATCTTTTATTTAAATGCTCTAAAAAGAAAAAATAAACTTTAAATTAAATCAAACCCAACAATTTATTACATTACACATTTTATATGATATAAAAGCTTGTCGCGATATTTACCTATTTTAAATGTCATATTCTCGTTTATCTATACAAATATACAAAATTTCAGCTCAAACGGTTGAAGATATGCTTCAAAATTGAGTTACAAGGTTCCGCTCGGACAAACATACATACATTGCAAGTTAACTTGTAAAAAATATATTGTGAAATCAGTTTTTGTTACGTAATCATAGATGGCGCTGTGTTTTGTCATATTTTATTATTAGTGTAAGATAGCTCGACCTTCACCCATCTGCTTACCGGATGAAAATTATATTTTATCAAATAAAATATGTTGCTGAACATATACTAATAGGGTTGCCATTAAAATAATATTAAATCTTATTATTGCACATAATCTTAATGCTTAATTTCGATTTTATCATATACTAGCGACTCACCGTCGCATCGCTCGGGTTCGTCCCTAGGTTGCTTCCCAATACAAGCTTTCATCCCCATTTTCACCCCTTTAAGAGATGATTTCCGGGATAAAAACTATTCTATGTCCTTCTCAGGGTCGTAAACTATCTTCTTACAAAATTTCATCTAAATCGGTCCAGTAGTTTCGAAGCCTACTCGGTACAAACAAACTAACAAACAAAAAATCAATTCTTCCTCTTTATAATATTAGTTTAGATTATATGAAGAACTCAGCGTTTTAGTTAGTCTTTTTGATAAAAGGTTTGTAAAGGAAACAAAATAAATAAAAAAATAACATCATGTATGTATTTTTAATTAAAAATATATGTACAAAAAATTATGATAACACAATAAAGCTTAAAATATTCTTATGAATAAACTTCCAGCTGCAAATTCATCCGGACGAAATTATTAAAAAAAAATCAAAATAAAAAAAATACAAACAGACCGACACAAGATAAATGTAAGAATCTTCCATTCTCATACATAATATATATAAAAAAATAAAACTAATAATAAATATTCCATATAAAAAATCTAATTCTGTTAAAACTTATATCTAAAATATGAAAATTAAATACATAAAACTTATTCATCCGGATGAAATTAATTAAAATAAAACTATAAAAACAGATCTAAAAAGCACAGATTTTTTCATTAAAAACTAAAATCTATTGCAAAATAAACTGGTATGTTGACAAAATTGACAAAAAAAAAAAGAAAAAATTAGATGATTTTAAAAAATCAAGCCTCATTTTTTTTAATGAATTTTTTTTTATGAAAGTTATATTTTTTGTTATTTTCAAAACCAAACTAATCTAAGGGAATGTTTTTTTATAAAACATATATATTTTTTTATAAATATTATTTAGTACCTCACTATGTTCACACTGGTCTTGCGGAGAAAACGGAGAAAAAAACCATGAAAAAATCCAAAAAGATAGTTTTATTTAAAAACATTTTTTTGTCTGCCTGTTTATTCCGGCTAACCTCCAAAACGGCTGGACCGATTTTGACAGGACATTAACTGGCAGATAGCTGATGTTATAAGTAGTAACTTGTGCTACTTTTATTATAGAAAAATAGTCCCGCTAAAAAAAATATAACCCATGAAATTATTTAATTGTTTAAAACGTATACATAGAGACGAGGCCGAGTGAAGCGACTGTAAGTTTTAAGTACATAAAAATTTTGGGGGAAAAACCGTGGAGAAATCCTTGTATTTATATAAAATTTAAGTTTATAACAAATACGTTTTATCAAAAATGGTCTGACAATATAATTTGTCAATCCCACGAACATTAAACGTGTGATTATTCTAATCCTATTAGATAATAGAGAGAAGAGAGCGGAGATATATATCTCTTTCTTTCTATGACAAGATGAGTGTGAAGACGATTAAAGCATTAAGTTGACAAGTTATTTTTCCATACAATATTTGATTTTAAAATTACAAACAGGGAAGATTTGTTTTTTTGTTTATTTGTTTGTTTGTTTATTTGTCACAAGTGAGCTTGAAAATACTGAACCCATTTTAATAATAGTTTTATCGTATGAAAGATATATTATTCATCAAAATTGTATGAAAAATCAACCCACAAATTCGTTAAAAACCGCTACAAATTGCTAGATATCATACAAAAAAATAGCACATTTCTTTTATATTTGAAATAAATCTATTCCTAATCACTACACTATTTAAGGCACGTATTTTTTTTAATAAACTATAATACGCAAAAGTTTAATTAAGATGGCGATTTTTTGTCTATATAATAGATAGCTCAGACATGATAATGTTCTATATTCGCTATCTTCGCTTTTTTTTTAAATAAAAAAAAACAAAAAAAAACCGCGACTGTAAATAGAAACAAACTAATTAGCATAGTTTTATCCATACAGTTGACTAATAAAGGCGTCTAGATAGTAAAGTCAGAAGCGCTCCCGACTTGCCATACTGACTGATTGATATGTCTAACTAGCGAAAAAAATAAATGAAAAAAACGTGTGTGTGTGTGTGTGTACTTATGTACGCACGTAAGCAGTTATACTTCTTAACAGAACAAAAATAGCTAAAGATTTCATCCCGTATGTCACAACTCTCTGTTTGTAAAAGGAATGCAGCTAACTTCATCATGTCGCATTTATAATATTAATGGAATGGATTGGTTTAAAGCATTCAAATTAGAATCATTAGTTTTCTATTAGCGACATCGCTTTAACATTATGTCTTGTAATCTAAAAGGATACACAATATGCACCACGAAAATTAACGGGATTTTAATATTGCTTTATATAACTATTTATTTCGTCTTTATTACACTGAATAATTAAAATATTTTAGAAAAAAACCCACTAAAATTTGAATAAAAACGTTGCTTGCACTTTTAGTATGAAAATTCATACAAAAAATATATAATTTTTGTATCGATAATCTAAAAAAAAAATTTAAAAAATGCTGAAAATTTAAATATTTTCAACGGTTATGCCTATATTTGCGCAATGTATTATAAGAACAAAAAATCACCATTTTTTGACTACACTTCGTCTTTTCAGTGCTTATTTGTACAAACGACTAATTCACTGAAAGCTTTTATTACAGAATTATTGACTTTTAAATGTAAATTCTACTGGTATTAAAGATACATTTTACTTTAATAAAACCAAAAAGATCTATTTTATCTATACATGTATAAAATCTTAGAAATAAAACTTTATTTTTAAAATAGAGGGGAAAAAAAAACTCTGCTGTAAAGTACAAGTATTGGTCGTTTGCACAAATAAGCACTAAGGCGACGCCATATTTAAAAAAAATCAGTTCAAAATTATCTACGCAACTAGCTCTCTTAATTTAGTTTTAAGCAATTTAACTTTTTTATTCACCGCATTTTTATAGTTTAACTTTGAATCGTATTTATTATCTGTATTTTTTCTACTTTTTACTCTGTCATGGAATAATTCGTAGAAATTAGGTAGAGGTGTGTCGACTAAATTGTTAGTTACATGGTCCGATGTGAAGGGGAAATCGGGGAACGAAAGGGCCATGTTCTGTATGAAATGATTAAACATGGCGGTTTCTGTGAACCATTCGAGAAAATATTGTATTTGTTTCGACGAGGCGTTCTTTTTGAATGCTTCTTTCTGTAAAAAGGATAAATTTTGTTATTGTTATTATTATATAATTCATTTTAAATTCGACATTTTATAGTTTTAGTTCTTATTTGTTCAAACCACCAACACTTGTCATACTTTGCAGTATAGAGTTTATCTCTTCTAATTTAAAAACAAAGGTTCATTTATGATTTATATACAATAGAGATAAAATACTGTTTTTTTTTTTGGCTTTTTCAAAATAATGTGTATTTAAAACTACTAGAATTGACATTTAAAAGTCAATAATTCTGCATTAAAAATTCTTTCGATATTGGTCGTTTGAACAAATAAGTACTCAGACGACGATTTATAAAAACGAATAGACAGACAAAAAATCTTCATATAGTTTATATTAACTATATAATTTTTTTTTATATGCTAGCAATTCACCCTCACTTCACTTGGGTTAGTCTCTAGTAAAAAACAAAAACAACTCTATCTCACGTGAACCGTCCATTTTTTCAGGATAAAGAATAATGTATGTGCTAGACTATAATCTATCTCTGTGCCAAATTTCATCTAGATCCGTTCGGCCGTTCTGGCGTGATTGAGTAACAAACATCCAAACTTTTGCATTTATAATATTAATAATAGGGTTATAATATACTAAATACAAAACATATTAAGTAGAAACATTTAAAAATAAAAAGAAAAATACTCACATCAAAAACTACGCCATTTTTCCCCAAATCACCTTCCTTAACTTCACCCTCGGAGAAAAACTTCCAAAAATCACCCAAAATATCGACGAAAAATCGCAAAAACGCTTCGGAAATCATTAGATTTCTTGTTTTCGTATCGTCTTGTTTGTCTTTGTGCTTCGAATATTCCATTTGTAGTGAGGTTTTTAGTGTTTTATAGCTAGAAGTTGGGAGGATGGTCGATTCATCGCCTTGATAGAAGAGTACTTTTGACGGGTTGGACAAATCTATTAGCATGCCCTGAAAAAAAAAAATATTTTCTTTAAATTACGCGAATATTTGACATATCAATTAAAACTATTCATACGGACGGACGGTGTCTCTCAGACACCATGATTATTGTAAACTGTAAAGCATTCGGCATCGGGAACAAAAACAAAATAAATCCGCGGAAAATCCGAAAAAATAGTTTTATTTAAAAAATAATTTAGTAAATACATTAGTCAAGATGAGACTTAAACTACATATTTATGCAAGTGTTTGACATATAAGAAATAAACTATTTCGTCGTGGTTTTTTTTTAATTTTATTTTCGACTAAGGAGAGACTAAGTTTTAGACGTCTTAAAGGTTATGATATCTGAATTTTAACAAGCATATCGCCTCAAACTGCACCTGAGCATAATCACACAACACTAACACCAGTATAAACAGAGACGCTCAACCTTTCCACCCACAAAACAACAAAAAAGCAAACCTCCTCAAATTACGCCGGAGCATCATAAAGGTTGCCAGTATACATAGACAGAGGCGCTCAACCTTTCCATCCACAAAACATAACAAAAAAACAAACTTCCCCAAACTTCGCCTCAACACCATAATGGTTGCCAGTATAGATACACAGAGATGCTCAACCTTTCCACACCCACAAAACACAACAAAAAAGCAAACCTCCTCAAACTACGCCGGAGCATCATAATGGTTGCCAGTATACATAGACAGGGGCGCTCAACCTTGTCAACCGTAAAACATAACAAAAGTCAAACCTCCTCGAACTGGTTGGGCGCGTGGTCGCACAGCATGGCGGCGAGGATGGGCAGCGGCGCGGCGAGCACGTCGCGCTGGATCTGCGCCGGGATGGCGGAGATGAGCGGCTGCTGCCACACCAGCGGGTACAGCGCGCTCTGCAGCGCCTCCATACACGATGAGAGGACGCTGGAATACGTTTAAAATATTTATTTATTGTTGGTTCGCTTCTAGACATACAAAACAAATCTATCCCACGGGATAGGATTTTTCTGGGATAAAAGATAGCCTATATGTTACTCTGATGTATGAATTATTTGTAAAGTTTCATTAAAAGCCAATCAGTAGTTTTTGTGTACTAAGCTATATAAAAACGATATTAAAATAACGAAATCAGTGTTTCCCGTGACCATATTTTGTAAGACATTTGAGACGGCCGAAACCAAAGTACAAAATAAAACCGCGAATAAATCGAAAAAGATAGTTATATTTTCTTTTTACTAACTTTTAAGTGGGTAATTTACTTATGAGAGTCGATTTTTTTTTACTTAATTCACAAATACCATCATACCGGTAGATAAATATTTTTGCAAAATATCCGTAAATAATGATTAATGATATTTAAATAAGAAACTTATAGCTTGCTTCCCAATACAAACTTTCATCCCCATTTTCATCCCCTTAAGGGATGATTTCCGGGATAAAAATCCTGTGTCCTTCCCAGGGACTCAAACTATCTTCTTACCAAATTTTCTATATCTCTAAATCAGTTCAGTAGATCCAGAGATTATCCCCTACAATGTCACAAACTCACAAACTTTACCTCTTTATAATATTCGTATAATAATAATTGTATAGATGGAGCCTATAAGCTTCTTAAATAATAAAATATAATAAATGGAGGATTTAGTAGTGTAGAGTTATAACCATATGAAAATGCATATCTATATGTCTGGTATTAACCCGAACAAACAGACACTAATCTATACAAATAAAATTGAAGCCCCTGTTTATAATGTGTTGACTAAATGCATATAAAAGTATATACGGTACTAATAAAAAAAACTCAATTTTTAAAAATGTTGTCTGTCTGTTTGTTCCAGCTTATCTTCGAAACATATAGCCCGATTTTGACGGGACTTTCACTAGCAGATAGCAGATGTTATAAGGAATGACTTAGGCTGCTTTTATTTTAGAAAAAGAATTAAGGTTTAAATTAAAATTAAAACCAACGAAATTTTAAAGAAAATCGGCTTATCTTAGTTTATGATATGTGCTAATGTTAGAATTACTAACAAAATTAAGACACTAACCTCAGTTCCTCTCCCATGATAATGACCTTCCTCTCCAGGAGTAGTGAGCCGAAGACCTTCAGGACTAGACTGGCACCAAACGTGTCCAGCAACACTGACATGTTGTCTTCATCAGCTCGAGGGTCGATGGGCCTCTTTATTATATGGGTTCTGAAAGAAATTGTTAGACTGTTAATATATAAACAAACATATATATATATATACATTTCCTAACAAATATCTCTACAGAAAGTCACATCGACATGTGACGTTAAGTCAAAGCAAAGAATAAAATTCAAAAATCTAAAATTCTAATTGTCTAAACACAAATTCGAACTTACGCACACCACATAAGGTATTTTTTTAAACGAAACAAGAGAGAAAAGCAATGAATAAGAGATTTGAAAAAAAAGCGCAATACAATGTCGAATTATGCACATCTTTTTGAGGACACTTTTGAGACGTTACTTGTGTATGTGGAGTTTTTGTACATAGAGAAATGGCTGTACCGATTTGGATTAAACTTTGTAATTAGATAAGGTTTTGCGTTTTAAGTTTATTTATATAGGTATAGGTGTCTTTTTTGAAAAAAAATATGAGGTACTATTTACTATACTAGTACAAATGCCTTATCCCATACAGATATTGGACAGTGCTAACTCGGGATATCCGTCCAGCTGTTTAGGTGAATGAGTGACAAACATACACACAAACAAATTCTTACATTAGTAACAGGCGGTATCATGCTTAGATATTTTCCTATAGTATTTTAAATTCTCCATTAAAAAAAACTCACCTATGCCTCTCCATATTAACAACAACACGTTTCGGCCGATTGTTATTTTCCAAATCGTAATATTCTGGCAATTCGTGGACATCATCAGCTAATACCAAACTCTCTGCTTTCTCCGTTCTCTCTTTATCCAAACTCTCTTTCCGCACGCTAACATTCATTGTACTCTCATTCCTTCTCGGATCCGGCATGGTTTTACATTTGTGTATATCTCCTAAACTTATAGAATTTCTTGAAATGTCTTTGTTATTTGTATATTTGATGGAAATCTGCTCTCCGGGATATGGAAAGTCGGTTTCGAATAGTTGTTGTAGAATTTTATCAATCTCTACTTCTGAATCGCCGTGGTGTGTTTCTATTTCTTGTAAAATCTGAAAAAAATGTTTTTATTTAAAGTTTTTTTTTTTAGATTTTTTTTAAGTTTTGTGGATAAATTATACAACTTAAAAAATAATATAGAATGATCAAAACAATATCTCTATAAAAAATAACCGTCTCCTTTATATAAATATCAAATATATCTTCTAAAATAAAAAATAAAAATATTTATATAAAATGTTAAACAATCATTTACATAATATAGTATATAGTAAGAATTAGTATATCAAAGAGCGAAAGAGAGATAAAATATATTTTAGTTTTACATAAAACTTAATATTAATCGGTTGCCTCTGTTGTCGTACTACTAGGAATAAAAGGTACCATTTTGTCAGAGATGCTGTTTTAAATAATATAATAAAATTATTTATTTAGAAACGTCAAATATGCCAGCAGATATTTTGACAAAATATTCAAATTCGGCTAAATTTGTTAAGTTTTAAGATTGTTTAAAGGTGTTATATGTATACTTCATTGAATTTTTGGGTTAGCTTGTTTTATTTTTAAATTTTAGGTTATTTTGATAAAGGGAGTGTATTATTTTTATCAAAATAAGTTTTTAATGTATATTGGCCTTCTTAAAATTAAAAGTAATAAATTTCACTCGTAGAAAAATTCTAACTGCGATTCAATCATTTAAAAAAAATACCTTGTAATAGAAACCAGGCGCTCGGTATTTCCCTATCAAGCAGTAGCAGAGTGGTAGACATGTTGTTGCACCCTCCGGCAACACACGACGGCAGTACCTGAAACGAAAGTTAAATAAATAGTTTTATCTAATACAAATAAAATTGAAGCGTCTGTTTGTAATATCAAAATAACAGCTTTTTACTAAATGCATATTTATATATTATCTATACTATTATTATTATAAATAGGTAAAGTGAGATGGTGAGATTGTGAGTTTGTGACGTTGTAGAGGGTAATCTCTGGATCTACTAAACCGATTTAGTTGAGATTTGGTAACAAGATAGTTAGAGAACCGGGGAAGGACATAGGATGCTTTTTATCCCGGAAATCATTCCTTAAGGAGGTGAAAATGGGGATGAAAGTTTGTATTGGGAAGTTTGTATTTGTGTGATGAGCACGAATGTTTGTACTCCCGTCATGGGTGTTTATATTTATAATATGTACATATGTATTTAAAGTTATATATGTGTAGTGTATCAACTATCTGGTATCCATAACACAAGCCTAGTAGCTTACCATGGAACTAGATGGTGCTGTGTGTTAATGTCCCAACATATACACTAGATATCCTTTCCTTCTCTTTCTCAACTCACCCATAAGATCTCTCTCCTCTCTCATCAGTGAGGACTAGAGAGTAGCATTGTGCAGTCTTCTCCGTCGCCCATTCTTCAACATTTTTGGAACTGATGGTCTCTGGGAATATTAAGTTTTCTATGTGCGGTGGTACTTGGACCTGGAAGAAGAAAAAATATGAGAATAAAAAAGATTTCTTCCACTTAATAATTTATATATATTTATTTAGTTTGGAAACAAACGGTAAATAATTTATAATATTTGCGACCATAACTCCTTACTGAATCTCTCAAAATAAGCATGTTTCTCAAAACAAATTAAATTTAACCATTCTACCAATGCTATGGCAAAGAATTATATATATATAAAAAAAAAACTTCTCACCTGACTGGGAAAAACGCTTTTGACATAAGCCTCCCCTGTCATATAATTCAGTCCAACCAGCAGACAAACATTAAACAGCCCTTTCTCTCTAGGCTCAAAAGGCAAATCGATATCCACACACCCAGCCTTTTCATCGATACTCAAATTATCGATGGACTCATCACTAGCGTTCATAGACAATATATTTCCTGATGAATCTGTCAGATTCACTTTGGAATCTGTCGAGTCGTGTCTGTCCATTTTGTCTTTGGTCAAGTTACTTTGGGATGTCCTGAAACTTTTCCAAGAGCGAAACGTTAAGTAGGGATTGTCTATTATTTCCGATTTGTACGAACATATAGATGTTTGGTGTCGGAATCTTCTTGATTTAACATTTTGGTCCAAATACGCTACCCTGGAAGACACACGTCGCACGTAGTTCTTTCGTTTCTCTGTCAAACTTCTTGTGAGTGTTACTGATTCTGAAAAAAAATATGGTTTAGTTATTTTAATTTTGTTTCTTTTTTATATTAAATACTACTTTATTTCTTAAATATATGAAATAAATTAAATATTAAGTCCTTATATTTATATAGCAGATTTGCAAACGATTGCCTTTGATTTAACTCACGGTAGTAAAACAGAAGAAAGGTGCACAAAGTATTAATTACCTCGAAATAATAGTAATATAAACAAACAAACATACTTTCTTACAAAAAAAAATATATAAAAAAAACATTAATATTATTTTTTTAAATTGCCTTTCCATTTTTTTAACTAACGCGTGGACTGGTCGATTATTATTTGTTAATAGTTTTGAATATAGATAAGAATATTTGTTTTTTTTTATTATGCCTTATATGATTTTTATTAACAAAACAAGATAATTATTTTTTTGTTCGGAAGTTTGCGAACATTATTAGTAATTTATATCAAAATTATTGGTTTTATTATTTTTTTATAAATAATATATGTAGTTACACTTCATATTTCTTTTACGGCGAAATACCATCTCTACAGTCTACTACGGTCTACTGTGGTCTACTAACCTTCACTAGCAGCATCAGAGAGATCTGTGGGAAAACTTCCCGGTTTATTCTCGTCCATATTGCACGCAGCCTTTACTGTTTCGTAGATTTCTGACATAAGACGATTCAACTGGAAGAGAGAAGTGTCTTTTTTTAGATAGATTGATTATTATGAAAAAAATACGGTTGATTGTTTATATTATAGCTATTTACTAATACTTAGCATAAAAAAAGTATTATCTCATGAAGCCTTCTTTAGTGCATAACATAAAATTTTCCATATATTACGTTTTTACATATTTGAAGCAACAAACAAAATGAACGTACCTACATTGTTAAGAGGTATTTTTAGTTAACTTTAAATATAATAAGTACATGCAAGTTGCTGTAGCATATATATTTATAAAACAATATACATATATCATATATAAGCGACTTACATCGCTTCGCTCGGGTTCGTCACTGGGTACGTTTTATCGGGTAGTGTGGAATAGATAGATTAGTCTATACCCATATATATTATATAGATATATATTATATAGATATATATTATATAGATAATGTATATGGGTATGATGAGTTATTGTGGGTTGTATTATAACGTGTTTTCCCGCGGAAATGAGATGATCTTCCGCGGGAAAAAGTAGCCTATGTCACTCTCCAGCCCTCCAAATATCTCCACACAAAAAATCACGCCAATCCGTCACTCCATGTCGACGTGAAACAAAGACAAACAAACATACTTTCACATTTATTATCTATACTAATATTATAAAGAAGTAAGGTTTGTGAGATTGCGAGTTTGTGACGTTGTAGGGGATAATCTCTGGATCTACAGAACCGATTCAGATGAAATTTGGTAAGAATATAGTTTGAGACCCTGAGAAGGACATAGAATACTTTTTATCCCGGAAAACCTCCCTTAAGGAGGTGAAAATGGGGATGAAAATTTTGTACGGGGAATCAAGCTAGGGACGAACCCGAGCGAAGCGAGGGTGAGGGGTGAGTCGCTAGTATTATATATATGTGTGGAAATATGAAACAAAAAAAAAGGATAATCCCAAGAATCAAACTAAAGCTCAAAGGCACGGAAAAATCTATGGTTTTCGCGTACCAACTCAATAAAAAAGAAAACATATAATAATAATAATAATAATATTCTTTATTGTACACCAAAATAAATATAAAATAAAAAAAACAATACAAAGAAAAGATGCACAGCAGGCGGCCTTATCGCTGGAAGCGATCTCTTCCAGGCAACCTTGAGGTGGAGGAGTAAATGTTCATAAAAACGGTAGGCGGTGTACTTGCTTTAACACGTTTACTATATATAAATACTTATAGATAAATAGATACATACATACATACATACATACATACATACATACATACATACATACATACATACATATATACATACATACATTCATACATACTTATATGCGTTAAATTTACACACACACATAAAAAAGAAAAAATCAATCAAAAAATAAATAGGATTAGATACTAGAACATAATAGAGGAAATAATAATAACGATGATATTAGGAGAAAGGACTAAGGGAAAGACTTAAAGAGACATATAATAATCTTTTAATAACTTTTTAAATTTATCTAAGCTTTTAGCAGATCTAATGCTTAAAGGAATAGAATTCCACAATCGAGCAGCTTTTACTGTAAAAGAATTTGTGAAGAAACAGGAAGAGTGAGTAGGAATTTTAAGAAGGAAATTTTGAGCAGAGCGAAGTGAACGAGCATGGGAATCATCCAGAAACTCAAAACGCTCTTTCAGATAAATAGGAGTTGAAGGGTTAAACAGCACGCAGTAGAGAAGATGAAGAATATGAGTATTCCTGCGGAATCGGATTGGGAGCCACTTGAGCTTTTTACGAAATTGAGAAACATGGTCATATTTTCTAAGGCCGAAAATAAACCGTATACAAAGATTTTGGAGTCGCTCAAGTTTATTCAAGTGCTCCTCTTTGATGTCGAGATAACAAATGTCAGCATAATCAAGAATCGGTAGTAGGAGTGAATTTGCTAGCGCAATTTTGGTAGGAATCGGAAGGAAATTTCGCAATCTGCGAAGAGAAGCAATCGCTCCAAACATCTTCCGGCTCAGTTCACTCACTTGCGGATCCCATGACAGGTGTTGATCAATAAGTAAACCCAGATTTTTAACTTTTTCCTGAAAAGGAATCTGAACACCATCTAGCAATATTTCTGGTATTTGTATAGTTTTAATTTTTGACAACATCCTTTGACTGCCAATAATAATTGCCTGCGATTTCGTTGCGTTTAAGTTAAGGCCGTACGATTTACCCCATGTAGCTATAGAGGAGAGGTCTTTGTTAATATTTTCTATTGTTTGTGGTAAATCAGCCACAGATGTCACGGCATAAATTTGCAAATCGTCTGCATATAGGTGGTAGTGAGAAGAAATTTGGAGACAAATAGTATTAATAAAAACTGAAAATAAGAGAGGAGACAACACGCCACCTTGTGGAACACCGGCAGTAACTTTGCACCAATCGGAGTAAGAATCTTCAATCCGAACTCGTTGCCGGCGATCGCACAAGTAAGAACGAAACCAGTCAACGACCTCAGGAGATATGTTTAGAGAAGATATAATGGCAAGCAAGATGTCAAAGTCCACCGTATTAAAAGCATTACTAAAATCTAGTAGAACCATCACAGTAAGTCTTTGATGGTCCATACCTTTCCTGATATCATCTGTTATTTTGACTAAAGCCGTAGTCGTACTATGATTAGGACGGAAACCAGATTGAAAGGAATTTAAAAGATTATGTTTGTAGAGGAAAGCACTCAATTGCTGGTGAACCAATCGTTCGAGTACTTTTGACAGAAAAGGAAGAATAGAAATAGGACGATAATCAGAAAAAGAAGATGGACTAGATATTTTAGGAAGAGGAAAGATTTGCCCATCTTTCCAGGAAGAAGGAAATTGATTGAAATTAATTGAAGAATTTAAAATGGTAGTAATAATAGGAACGATATAGTCAAGAACGGGAAGAATCATTTTACGGCTTATACAGTCTGCCCCAACCGCATTAGATTTTATTGCCATAATATTTCTCTTAACATCACTTTCGGAAAATTGACTAAAAGAAAAACGGGGAAAATCAGGAGTAGGTAATATATATAATATGTTACATATATATATATATATATATATATATATATATATATATATTATTTATATATATATTATTTATATATACATTATATATATATATATATATAATGTAATAATCATTTTATAATGCTTTTTATAAATAAAATATAGCATCCCAAATAACATTTTATCTTAATTAACACGACAAAAACAAAAATATTTGTATGAGAAATACACAAACACAATATGCAGTCATACATACATATTACACAATACGTATTTTTAATACATAGGCGTAATAACCACTAAACTATTTTGAGTGAAACTTTTAAACTAACTCTATCACTATCATACTTATCAGACCACGTGGTCATCATTCCTTCATCACTACAATTACAACACAATAACGTAATAATCACCTTGGAACAACATTTTGGACGATTCATTAACACAGAACAATTAATTAAATTAAAATAAACTAAATTATATAAGAAATTTGTACTAAAAGTACTGATTTTCGGGCGCACTTATTGTTATAACACGTCCTGTTGGCCAGTGGGAGTGTACTAATTTGAATATTAAGAAACATCTTATTATTGATAATAATTAGGATGGTGTTATACTGTAGTGAACTATTTATCACGCTAATATTATAAAATGCTCTGCCTCGGTGTTGTTGTGGCTAGCATATACGGCTGCACATCGAGAGGTCCTAGATTCGAGTCCCGGGTCGGGCCAAGTTTTGTTATTAAGTCATTCTGTTTAGTAAGTCTCAGTAACAGCCCGGAGTTGGGAAGTTGGCGGTGTTTCACCCCCGTGCCGAGGCAGAGCACGTAAAGCCGTCGGTCCTGCGCCTTAACTCTCACCGGTCGTGTCGAGTAGCCGTCCCACCGGAGTATGAGAGTGACAGGAATAGAGAGTGCACTTGTGTCTGCGCGTACACGCGCTGCGCTATAATATCTCACGCGCAGATGCCTGGTCTCAATGAGACTGGTCGAAGTCTGTCGGGAGGTCATTATTATTATAAAATAATATTGTGTTTGATACTCCTTCACGTAGAAACAGCTGGACCGATTTGGATGAAATTTATTATACGGATACACTATGACTTACATAGGTCATAGTCGAACTTCCATGTTTTTCTAACAGAAGAACTAGCGGAAAATAAAAGTGCCCGTGAGAATGCATTTTCATTCTCACGTATAATTTAGTGTAATTGATATATTAAGGACGTGAACGTTATTATTATCGACCTACCACGAGCGGAGCTGCGAGCAAACACTAGTGAACAGAAAAGATCTTATTAAACACTAGCAGAACCCGCAGCTTCGCTCGCGCTAAAACTACAAAAAAAAAACTCTTTGGCTGTATGCAAAAGGCATTTTTGAAATTATTTCAGTAGTGTCTGAGCTTAAAGCACTTATACATATTATAAACATCAGTTTTACAATAATGTATGGAAATCTGCCCGATTTGTTGATATTTATGATTCAGTAATCACCATCTCCGCTACCTTGGGTAGTAGCATGATGATATACAGCCTATAGCCTTGCACAATAAACGGGCTTACTAATGCAAATAGAATTTTTCAAATCGGATTAGTAGTTCCTGAGATTAGCGCGTTCAAAGAAAACAAGCTCTACCTATTCTTCTTCTTCTTCTCCCTGCCCATTTCCCAATCACTTGGGGTCGGCGCAGTACATCCTCTGTACTTTTGAAACGATTTGACAAAAAATTTACGACCGGCCGCCTGCCTGACGTCAACCCTCCTTGGGAATGCTATTGTTTATCGCGGAATATGTCTTATGATATATCTCTTATATATATATATATATATATATATATATATATATATATATATATATATATATATATCTTATATATTATTGTTCAAACAAGCTCTACCTATAATATATAATATTAGTATAGGATATATAAGTAAATTCTGTCTCATTTACGCATAACACCGTCCACGCAATCACAGCTAGGTCACAAAACATTGTACAAACAATAATTATGATAACGTCAATTAGTGATGTGCAACACATCGATAGATAAAGGACGTTGCAATAATTGATTTGCCTCAGATGTTTGCGGCATTTTGTTGTAGAAATCTGAATTTGTATTATTTATGAGTCAAATTCTTACTTTATCATTGAACCTATCAATATCTGGACAGACATTTGATTTATCTATATTTATCAAATTACTATTATAAAAGCCAAAGTTTGTATGTTTGTATGTGCGTGATTTTCACATATATTATTTTGACATTTGCATGAAATTTTGTACACATCTCAGACTAATGACCAAATAAAGTATCAAAGTTCAAAATGGTAGCGTGATTTGCTGTTTATGCTACTATTTTCCACTTCTTTAAAGAATAAGGGACATTATTTATAGCAACATTATTTAAAAAATATATTTTTGTAAGAAGAAAATGAACATTAGTTCTTTTTTTTCAAATTGAAAAAGGACAAAATAATATTGGCTTATTTAAAATTTCCTTTATTATAATAAAATCCATTAGCTATTTTTATTTATTAAAAAACAAGCAAACAAACAAACAAACAATCTATCGAAGCAAGGTTGATTGAAAAAAACTAATAAAACATAATTATGACCAAGTATACTATACTGTATGAGACACGTCATAACAAAAGACGCATAATTCGAAAATGTTACCAGGTCATTGGCTTGTCATTTTCTATATAAATATATTGTGTTGTCTGTTGTCGGTCCTAATTTTACTACGAATTACTCCGTTTTTACACGTCAGATCTTATGCTTTTTCTTTTTTTCCTCGACTGCGGCGAAGCCCAAAGGAGGGTTATGTGTTTGTTGCCGGTTATTCTAAACATAACGTGTTTTCTCCATTCTAGGAGACATTAGCGAAGAAAATTGGCACCCAAATGGCACTCTTAGAAGCCATGGCCAAAATAACTGAACTGAATTGAATAGTTCCACAATCCATCTCCTGCCTCCATCGAATTAACTCGATTATATTAAATCATCCGACTGTCATCCGAATAAACAAAGACAATTAGATGTAGATTAAAATCGATTGCTTACATTTAACTTAAAACTTAAAATATATCGATACACTTATTATCCGAACGTGACGAAACCAATACGAAGGGTTCTGTTTATTAGATATCGATACACAATACGCATCACTATTTAATCAACACGACCCAAAACATTGAGCCTACAGACAGTGGGACGCCTTGTGACACCGAAATAAAATCTTTTTATATATACCGACACTATCTTAATTGGAGAGATTGCTAATTTTTCTCGACTGTGTAATGAGAGGTCAAAAATGATGAAATAAACAAGTGCCTCGGTACATTTTTACAACAACGATTTCTCTTCAAGGAAAAACGGCGAAGAAGTGAGGTGTCTCTCTCCAATAGTATAAAGATGTTACATGATACGTATTTCATACATTTCTTAATCTAATTTCGCTTAAATTAAGGAATATCTATATACTATATAGTATATATACAATAAACATACTGCCTCGGTGGTGTAGTGGCTAGCATGTACGTCTGCACACCCGGAGGTCCTGGGTTTGAGTCCCGGGTCGGGCCAAGTTTAGTTATTGTGTCTTTCTGTATAGTAAGTCTCAGTAACAGCCCGGAGTTGGGAAGTTGGCGGTCTTTCACCCCCGTGCCTCGGAGAGCACGTAAAGCCGTCGGTCCTGCGCCTTAACTCTCACTGGTCGTGTCGAGCAGTCGTCCCACCGGAGTATGAGAGTGACAGGAATAGAGAGTGCACGTTGTGTCTGCGCGTACACTTGCGCACTATAATATTTCCTGGGCAGTTGGCTAGTCTCAATGAGATTGGCCGCCGTGGCCGGAATCGGTCGGGAGAACATAATCAAAATATACATACATAATTCAAATATTATAATATTAAAATTACATTTTTTAAAACCAGCTTTTATATCATATAGATTGTGTAATGTAATAATAATAATAATAAATAAAATGGGTCTGATTTAATTTAAAATTGTATTTTTTATTTTTGAAGTATTTATTCGTATTCTTCTCAGCAAACCCTTTCATTTGATATCCATATCATGGGGAGCAAGAAAAAAACATAGTCCGCCATGTTGGATTTAGAATGACGTCACTTATCTAACCATGCATTGTCACCCAAACTAAACGTACATGTAAAATTTAGAATAGGATAACTACTTCAAAATTCAGTTAAATGATTTGACTAGAACAAACAAACATACGTCCAAACACACGTTAAATAAAAGCTCGTAAAAATTTCACTAAAAACGGTCAAGTCGAGTTAGCATTAATTATTATAGGTACATTTTTAACTACAAAAGTCCCTTGGAAAAGTGGAAATTTCCCTTTAAACGTAACCTATCAATTATTAAAAAAAAAAACAAAAATATATCCGAATTGAATACCTCGCTTTTTTCAAAATCGATTAAACACTCGTAACAATTTCAATCTGTTTCATCCAAATTTTCATTTCGACATAATACTCTCTTAGATTTACGCGAATATGCAACATTTTAAACAGACACTGACTGTAACAAGTATATAATGCCGTTGAGACGTCTACAACCTTAGATTGAACCCGCGACCATGATTGCTGTAAAGCATTCGAAACGTCGGGAACCAAAAATCAAAATAAATCCGCGAAATAATCCGAAAAGATAGTTTTATTTAAAATTTTAATTTCGAATTAGAAACTACGGCTGCCTTAGAGTATAGTGGAGAGTCCATTATCTTACTTCAGAACGGATTGTTTGGATGGATGGATGTTTGGTACTCAATCACGGCAGAACGGCTTTTTAACTGTTTATCCCGGAAAAAATTGCGGTTCCCATGGGATAGAATCCTTTATTAACAGAGCAAGAGATCGACTATCTATTCCATACTAACCGTTAAAACGTATCTAGGTACTAACACGAGAGAAGCGAACATGAGTTGCTACTTGCTAGTCTATACATATAATAAAATTCTAAGGCGAATCTGTACATTAAATATTTTTTGGAAAATCTTATTGAAATATCTCATTTCTGAGAAAAAATACAAAAACTGCAATGTAAGAGTATACTAATATATAAAACCTAAGAATTTGGTTTTTGGTAATCTGAATGCGGGTGGAACCGCGGGCAATGCTGGTATTAAATATAACCAATAAATAAATTTAAAAAAGAATCGATTTTTATTTAAAAAAAATCGATATTGGTCAAAGAATGATTACACTATAATCAGGTTAAATTTCAAATATATAGTCGTGCAAAGTATAAACAATACGTTTGATGTTCTCGGCGGAAGGCCAGATAACCTAATATACTTGTATGATCCTCATTATATAATAACAAAAGATTTCATAATAAATCTGCGACGTATACCTATATTTTATCATCCGCCCACGTTCAGCTGACCAAAAAACAAATTCTTAGGTTTTACATATTAATATACTCTTACATTGCAGTTTTTGTATTTTTTCTCAGAAATGACATATTTTCCCGCGGTAAAAAGTATCCTATATGTTGACCCGGATAACCAGCTATCAACATACTAAATTTCATCAGAATCTGTCCAGTAGTTTCCTCGTGATGCGGTAACAGACACACAGACAGACAGAGACAGACAGACAAAAATTCTAAAAACTATAGATTCGGCTTCTGTATCGATAATAATGTCTATTTCAATAAGATTTTCCAAAGAATATTTAATATTTAATTCGACTTAGAATTTTATTATTTGTATTGATTAGTTATTATTAGCTGTCTTAGTATGGCGACTCCTGTACTAAGTATGTATGTATGTATTCAGTTCCCTTCTTTTAACGTCCCACTGCTGGGGGTGGGCCTCCCTTCAATACGAGGGGAATCAGGCCATAGTCCACCACGCTGGCCGAGTGCGGGCGGACTGAGCATGTCTTTCGAAAACTTGCTAGGTTCTCTCAGACATGCAGGTTTCCTCACGATGTTTTCCTTCACCGTAAGGCAAGTCATAATCATGTTAGAAATGATTGG